CCTCTTTGATTTTTCTGGATAACCAATGAAAAAACCACTGATTGTTCTTGCATCCAGTTTCTTTTCATGTGGATTATACATTCTAGTTTCTATTGGGCATTCCCAAACATGTAGGTGCCTCAAACTAGGTTTCCTTCATGTCCACAATTCAAAATGAGTCTTTGGAACTGCCTTACTAGGAACCCTATTTAATAAATACATAGCGGTTTTTAAAGCATAAGTCCACAATGAAATGGGTAAAGATGAATTACTCAACATACTCTGAACCATATTCAATAATGTTCTATTACGCCTTTCTGATACACCATTTTGTTGTGGTGTACCTGACATTGTGTATTGCGCACATATACCAAGACTTTCAAGAAATTTAGCAAATGGACCTAGATGTTGTCCATTTTCATCATATCTTCCATAATACTCACCACCTCGATCAGACTTGACAATTTTCACATTTTTATCTAATTGCCTTTCAACTTCAGTAATGTAAATCTCTAACGCTTTTAACGCTTGAGATTTATCAAGCAATAAATAGATATGACCATAACGTGAATAATCAACAATAAAGGTATTGAAATATTTTTCCTTATTGAAATAATTAACATCAAAAGGTCCACAAATATTAGTGTGTGTTTTTTCAAGAAGCTTAGTGCTTCTTGTGGCTCCCTTCTTTGTGTGTTTTGTTTGTTTACCTTTAATACAATCCACACATATATTCAGATAAGTAAAATCTAAATCCGGAAGGATTTCATTTTTTACTAATCCTTTCATTCTTTCTTTAGAAATGTGTCCCAAACGCTTATGCCACAAGTAAGCAGAACGTTCATCAATTAAGCCACGCTTAATTTCAACGTTATGATGCAAGGTTAAAAGTGTTTCAGAAAAAAAGATTATCAAGATTTAACTTGTACAATCCATCACATAATATACCATTACCAATCAAATGAGTATATTTATACAAACTGAAACATTCATTACCAAATTTAAAAGAGTATCCAGCAACATCAAGTTTAGATAAAGAAACCAAATTCCTAGATATATTAGGTACATAAAGGGTTTCAAATAAATCTAAATGATGTACAGTGTTAAGGATTAAATGATAAGTCCTGACAGCTTCCACTAGCACCTTCACTCTATTTCCCATAAAGACAAATTTTTCATTTAGTCTTGTAGTTCGGGTCATAATGAATCTCTGTATAGTATTAGAAACATGAGTAGTACATCCATAATCAATCCACCAAGTATTATAAGGAACTTCTGCTAAGTTTGATTCAAAACATACATAAGCACTAGGCTTACCTTTCTTTTCGAACCAACCTTTGCATTTTGGACAATCCTTTTGGAAATGTCCAATCTTTCGACAAAAACGATATTTGATGTCATGATGTTTCTTCTTGTGGATTTGAGAAGAGGACTCGTTAATCTTTAAGAGTCCCTCCCCTTTCTTGTCATGTTTCTTACTAACTTTCTTTCTAGCTCCTCGATGATTAACATAATTGATGGAATGATTTCCTTGACTCCTCATTATGGTTTCCTCTTGAACTAACATACTATGCAATTCATGCATATTCCATTTATCTTTCATGGTGTTATAGTTCATTTGAAAAGGACTATATTGAGAGGGTAATGAATTTAGTACAAATTGCACAAGGAAATTCTCATCCACATCCATTCCAAATGTCTTAAGTCTTGCTGCAATGTTTGTCATTTCAATAACATGTTCATGCATAGGACGAGAACCATCAAATTTCATGGTGGTTAATGTACTCATTAGTGTCCCAGCAAGAGACTTATCAGCATTTTGGGAGCGCTCTTCCACAAACTTTAGCATTTCTTTAGCACTTTTAGTTTTAGGAAGAGCTGACTTAATGTTGTCAGCAATATTCATTCGCATATACATTAGACTCAATCTGTTTGACCTTTCCCAATTCTTATAATGAACATTTAAGGTTCTTCAGTGCTTATATTTGTAATAGCACTTGGCTTATCTTCTCTAAGTGACAAATCTAATTCATTACCCCAAGGTAAAATTGGATTTGTTCACTCCATTTAGAGAAGTTAAGTCCATTGAAAGTTGGAACAGATGAGAATTGCGAATGCAAAGAAACAGGTACTACAATCAATAAAATTAAAAAGGAAAAACATTAAGGCTTTGAGTTACATGCTAACATGCTAAATTAATTCAGACTACATCATAAGTGCATATTAATTTTCACCTTTGGGTAATCCATCAATATATCATACTAGACATAATGATACTAAAAGAAGTCACATGATTTGGCAATGATACATGCATATATCAGAAACATTTCCTATCTTTGGATATATAAATATAACTAATGATGCATTTACACTACCAACATTCATGCTCATTAATTATAAGAATAAACAATCAACCTTTGGGCGATTTTTAACTGTCTTATAATAATGAACTTCAATTTACTCATAAATATCCATAGCATCAAATTAATGAGTAAATGAAATATGATCATACAATTTGGAATTAAATAAACATAAAGATTTGACCACTTTGGTGATTAACAAATCTATCATAGAATAAGTCCAAACAAATAAAATATGATCATATAATTTGGAATTAAATAAACATAAATATTTGACCACTTTGGTGATTAACAAATCTATCATATAATAATTCCAGATATCTAACAAGTCATAATATTATACATACACATGACTCTCAAACTTGCACATAAATCTTAACTATATATATATTCATTGTTATACTCTTACTGTTCATGTTATATATATAACATCTAATCATGTTAATATATGAATGTGTTTAGTTACTGATTCATTAATCATATATATATATATATAACACAAACAGTACAGAACATATATAATGAAAAACATAAATCATTTATATAAAAATCAAATATTGCAAAGTAGTATTTATATACTGTTCATTATTGTTCATTGCACTATTATTTAAAATTACATGTTTATATGTAACAAAACTAAACAGTGTATTGTTTACAATATTTCTGCAAAGTGAAAAGGTATACTGTTTATAATATCTCTCCAAAATGAAACAATGTACTCTTCACAACATTTTTCCAAAACCAGAAGAGAAAACATAAATGAACAGTCCTCTCTTAGAACAAAAACATAATAATAGAACAGAGTTCATTATATATATTTGGCTACTGTTAACCGATTCATATATATAATTATAACGTATACATTAAACTTAACATTACTGTTATTAAAATTAATATATACTTGTCGCGACCCGATTTTTGGTTGGAAGACCGGCCCTGCGACTTAGGGAGAGGCGAACTTGATTTCTACCTCTTCCAATTGTTTGGAGTTGCCACTACGTTTTTTGCGGATAAAACGTAGAAAACTCTAAATATGCCCAATTAGGATAAAATGGTCTTTAATTAGATTTTCTGAGCTCGGGAGTCGGTTACGGATCGGGGAAGGTATTAGCACCCCGTCCGCCCGTATTAAAACGGTACCCTCGCTAATAACATGGACTTTTATACCCTTACAATTATTTATTAAAATTCAATAATAAAAGCAAAATGTTTTATTTTTTATTGTTGTGTCTAACAAGAGTTCATCTTGCTCCTACGTATCCCTATATCCCTAGGTGCAAAAGGGAAATCAAGGCTACGTAGTTCTGGTTTGAAAATTAATTGGTGTTGGTTTAGTTAGTTTGAAAATTAATTGGTGTTGGTTTAGTTGGTTTGAAAAGTCGATGTAAATTGTATTATCTTTAAGAAAAGACGAAGCAACATAAACTAATGGCCGCACCGTATCAAATCTTAAAGGGATTTTGAAAGTAATTAAAAAACTTTGTTGAAATTTATTCATCCTTAAGATAGATGAGGCAACAAGAACTAATGCCCGCACCGCATCAAATCTTAAAGAGATTTTGAAATAGTTTTAGAATATATCGTAGAAATTTATTCATCTTAAAGATAGATGAAGCAGCAAGAACTAATGACCGCACTACATCAAATCTTAAAGAGATTTTGAAATAGTTTTAGAATATATCGTTGAAATTTATTCATCTTAAAGATAGATGAAGCAGCAAGAACTAATGTCCGCACCGCATCAAATCTTAAAGAGATTTTGAAATAGTTTTAGAATATATCGTTGAAATTTATTCATCTTAAAGATAGATGAAGCAACAAGAACTAATGCCCGCACCGCATCAAATCTTAAAGAGATTTTGAAATAGTTTTATAATATATTGTTAAAATTTATTCATCTTTAAGATAGATGAAGCAGCAAGAACTAATGCCCGCACCACATCAAATCTTAAAGAATATTTTGAAATAATTTGAAATATAATTGAAATTTTTATCAGGTACATTTTATTAAAACAAATATTAATGTAAAAAATGTTAGAATAACAATACCCAAATATGAAATAAAAATTACTATAACTAAATAACAAACATAAAACAAAAGGTAAAAGTTAAATAAAAAAAGAAAGAAAAGCAAAGGGAAGGGGAATAAGTAAGTGGTCATCCTTGTTGCTCCTAGAGAAATAGAAATGGGAATTGAAGTCCCCAAAGGCATCACCATCTCTTCATTTTCTTCAAATCTCAGGCAACATCAACTCAATCCGGCGAAACCACGATTTCAGTGGCGGTTTGCGGTGGTTCTTAATTGAGAACGCTCCCAACAGCATGGGATCCTCATCCCGGCGTAGTGTACCAAAAGGGAATCAAATCCCTAAATTATCTCCTTCATCCTCTTCTTTTCCGGCAGCGGCGACAACAAAAGGGACGACAGCAAGTCACTGGTAATCCGACGGCTACATCTCTTCTCCTCTATCTCGTTTCTCCTTAGCGACGGTGGTGCTCTCTCTGGTGACGGTTTCGGTAGGGACGACAATGCCAGGCAGTAGCGGAGGCGGTCACGGTAGCAATGGAAGCAAAACAAAGGTGATTCCCTTCTCCTCCATCCCATTTCCCCTCTCCGATTCTGGAACAACAACATGTGGAGGTGTCAAAGCTAAGAGGCCATGGCTTTCTCTCCCTCTCCATCTCAATCACGGCCAAGGAGGTTGAAACCTCTAACTCCATTTTCTCATTCTCTTTGATGATGGTCGAGGGGCTATATGATGGCAAGGGACATGGCGGCGAAAGTCGCCTACTCGTAGTGGGTGATGGGCATGAGAACAACCAAGACGTAAGGATTCGGTAATGAACCCTTTCTCTAATTTGTTGACAACTTGTTTAAAAACGTGTTACTGCTTGTATTGAATAGTAAGCTAAATTTAAGGTTCTGAAACCATGTGTTGGTTGCTTCTGATCCTTTACCTTTTATGCTGGTAATGTTCTTCAGTTATTGATAGATTGTCATCCCTTTTTGGTTGATCAGTGTCTTCTTTTATGATGGTTGCCCTCCTTTTGAGTATCCCCTGAATGTTTGTATATGTAGTGTTATAGATGTACATGTTCTGATGCGTAGATAGATAGTTGAGGCGGGTTGTCTATTTTGTGAGCATGTGATAGATTTGTAGCCTCTTGATTTCTCTTTTTGGATTGTTGGTACTTGTGTTTGAGTATGTGTATGTTGTGCTCTTATGTGTGTGAGAAGGTGTTCTTCAATATGTGTGTTGCTCCTGGATTTGTTGCAGATGGATGTTTGAGATATTGTGTATGAGAGATTTTCCTTTTGGATGGTTGTGCATATGAGAGGTGTTTATCTCTATTGTGTTTCTAATTGTGTGGTGGAGTGATATCTATTTCCCCCCCCCCTTTTTGTGTTATATAAGAATATATGTGGGTATGATATGTGTATGCAGGTATATGGATGTGGGTTAATCTTGGATTGAACTTTGTGAGAGTATATAAACAAGACTAGGTGTTTGGTGGGTGGGAAGATGAATAATAAAAAAAAAGATGAGAAAAAGTTTTCATGAAGTTGGTTCTTCTTCAAGCACTCATATAATATTAACCATCTCCGTGCTATTGTTCACGTGTAATAGTGCCTCCAACCCTCTTCCTAAAGAATATGTATTCTCCCTATTTATAACTCTGCGTTCTCTGCACTTCTCCCTCTGCCACTTCCTTTTCTTAGTTATTCTTACGTTTTCTTTTACTTTGTAACTGTGTGAGTGTGGTTTAATGAAAACAATTTCATCCCACAAGAAGATGAAATGGAAATAGATACATTGTGCAAGCTCACGTTTCTGACTATTGAAGTGGAAGTGGCTTTTTGGCTCTTTCCTATTTAATCCATTTTAGTACCATTCAATATGAGAATTTATTCATTTCAATTACCGTTCAATGAAGGAAATGCAGATATTAGTTTGCCTTGAGATCTCTGTGCTTCCCATGCTTATTTTGTAACTTTAAAATATCATTATCATTTTGTAATTCCTCGCATTATTGCAGAATTTTGAAAAATAGTACCACTGAAAACTGAATATTTTTTATAAGTTAAAAACGAAACCTTAATAATCCAAACAATTAACTATGATTCAAAGTCAATAAATCAAGACCTATAAAATTGGTTCCGTAACATTTTGAAAATATGCACTTTTCAATTATTGTGCTAGTTTTGAAATTTAAATAATTTTTATATAGGCCGGACAAAATTGGGTGTTCACAATATGTGATAAATAAATATGCACACTATAGAACACATATAGTATGGGATGTATGTGTACTATAGGGTGAATATGAATAATATATGATGAATAAGTATGCACACTATAGAACACATATAGTATGAGATATATGTGTACTATAGGGTGAAGATGGATAATATGTGTTGATTGATATATGCTTATCATGATCGATGATTAAATGTGTGTGGTTTAAATACTTTAATGTCATTACTCCATGTAAATCCACGCTACGGTCGCCGTAGTTGGTTCTTACTCCCTATGTCTTTCTTTGTATGTGTTGTATATTTGGGTTCAGGTTGTGGAGGTAGCGCATTGGACGCTTGCGGAGAAGAGTACATGATAGAGTAGTGGATAATATGTAATTGATATGTTATATGATAAATATTTGTAATATGAAGAACATGTTAACGTGGATTCATGTATAAACAACTTTCTTGTAAGTGTATAATGAAGTGGATCTAATGTTTGTATTTAAGGTACTTTTGAGAAAGGGTAATTGTATAAATGATGTATTTGAACGGAAGTGTAATGACATGCTTTTGAAATGAAAAGGTGTTTGGAATATTTTCGCCTTGTAAATTTATAAACATATTCACTCAAGTTTCCAAACTGTTTGAGTAATGTCTTTCAAAAGTAATCACTGCACTTTCACGAATAAGGATTTTAAAAGAGAATTTTCGGGTTATGAAAATCGGGTCGTTACAATATGGTATCAGAGCATATGTCAACTCTGCGGCCTAGGGTATGACCTTACATGCTTCTTTGTGAAATTTGTGTGAGTTAACTACTTGACTTATGTGCATTATTGTTGACTATGTGGTAACTGCTGATGTGAGGAATGATTGTTGAATTCCTTGCGGTAAGTGTTTGGTTGTGAATTTATCGTTGGATGTCCTGTTGTGAGTTATTGATGAAGTGTTTGTTGAAAACTCCTTGTTGTAAAACTTTGGTTGAATTTATTGTGTGAGACCCTTGTTGGTGATTCTCTGGTGAAACTCCTGCTAAAGGTTTTTGGTTGTGAGCATCTTGTTGAAATGGTTTATGGAGAGTTTGTGAATGTGATTTTCTGGTTGGATTTCTTGGTGTGGAATTTACTTGTTGAAAGTTCCTGATGGTGGATCACTTGTTTGAATTATGGTCAACCTTTTGATGTGAACTCTCTTTTATCACTAAGACTAAGATAATAGAAAATGAATGATTGAGTTGTGAATTACGCATTTAGTATAAACATATATGGGTGTGTTTATACTAAAGTGAGCGTAGATTTACGGAAATGGAAAATGTGTGTATTTTCTGGTTATGCAAGGATGGAGTTGTGAATCACGCATTCAATATAAATGGGTGTGTTTATACTAAAGTGGGCGTAGATTTATGGGAAAACGATTTATGGTAAGAACAATGAAATAAATCGTAAATCACTTTGTAGTTATAAGCATATATGGATATGTTTATAATGATGTCGAATGTATTTACTGTTTATGTATTGGTGGAGTGCCAATGGAAATAAAACTCGGAATAATGAAATAAATCGTAAATCACTTTGTAGTTATAAGCATATATGGATATGTTTATAATGATGTCGGGTGCATTTACTGTTTATGTATTGGTGGAGTCCCAATGGAAATAAAACTCGGAATAATGAAATAAATCGTAAATCACTTTGTAGTTATAAGCATATATGGATATGTTTATAATGATGTCGGGTGCATTTATTGTTTATGTATTGGTGGAATGCCAATGGAAATAAAACTCGGAATTAAGCAATAAATTGTAAGTCACTTTGTAGTTACAAGCATATGAGATATGTTGTAATGATGTCGGGTGCATTTATTGTCTATGTATTGGTGGAGTGCCAATAGAAATAAAACTCGAAATTAAGCAATAAATTGTAAGTAACTTTGTAGTTACAAGCATATGAGATATGTTGTAATGATGTCGGGTGCATTTATTGTCTATGTATTGGTGGAGTGCCAATGGAAATAAAAATCGGAATTAAGCAATAAATTGTAAGTCACTTTGTAGTTATAAGCATATGAGATATGTTGTAATAATGTCGGGTGCATTTATTTTCTATGTATTGGTGGAGTGCCAATGGAAATAAAACTCGGAATTAAGCAATAAATTGTAAGTCACTTTGTAGTTACAAGCATGTAAGATATGTTGTTATGATGTCGGGTGCATTTATTGTCTATATATTGGTGGAGTGCCAATGGAAATAAAACTCGGGAAATGTATTGGTGGAGTGCCAATGGAAAGAAAACTTGGGAAATGTATTGGTGGAGTGCCAATGGAAATAAGACTCGGGAAATGTATTGGTGGAGTGCCAATGGAAATAAGACTCGGGAAATGTATTGGTGGAGTGCCAATGGAAATAAAACTCGAGAAATGTATTGGTGGAGTGCCAATGGAAATAAAACTCGAAAAAATGTATTTGATGGGGTGCCAACGGGAATAAAACTCGTTCTTAGCCGACCATGATTGGTTAGCGACTTTGGCTCAAGTAATGTAGCAAGCTTTGGCTCAAGCAATGTAGCAAACTTTGGATCGAGTATATGTAGCACGTTTTCAAAAGAAAAAGGGAACCTGTTTTAGCTAACCTTAAGTGGTGTAGCGACTTTGGCTCAAGTTATGCAGCAAAGAAAATGAATTTCGAAATAGTTAATAACCTTGTTCCACTGTGGAATTGCCAACCTGGAGTGGTAGTGGATCACTGTGGAGTTTCCTACCCGGAGCGGTAGTGGATCATTGTTGAGTTGCCTACCCGGAGCGGTAGTGGATCATTACTGAATTGCCTACCCGAAGAGGTAGTGTATTATCTTTTATGCATGAAACTTTTGGTCTGTGATGATTGACCGTTTGTAATTGAATATTTGTAATGCACGATATATTGGTAATGAACTCAAATTAACTGCTTTGATATTGTGCTTTCAAAACTTGTTTCTATTTCATGTGCGTCAGTAATTGTTATACGTGATTGCAGTGTTATGGTGTAAGCATGTTTCTGTGAGTGTACTGTGGGGACTCTCATATTCCTGATGAAATGCAACTCCAGAACTAATTAACTTTTGAAAATTTGTGATTTGGACTTTCAGTGTCGCATGAGAAAAAGGGTTTTGAATTAGGTTGAAATGATTATGTAAATCTTGCTTTCACGAAATGATTGCCATGAATCGTATATCTAATCTATTTTTGAAAATCATTTTGGGTGAAGTGTAGTATGTGGCTGAACATTAATTTAGAATCATGTTGGAGAATCCAAAATTTTAGCAACTATATCTTTGATAATTATGATGTTGTAGAAGCTTTGGGATGTAATTATAACCAGGTGTTCATAGACATGATGAAAACTTGGGTGCGAGATGTATGCATTCTATGGTAGTTTGACTATTCATATAACACTTATGTTATTGGACTGAATGTATGTAAATTTGCCATGATCATTGGTAACCAAGCATGTGATTTGAGTGGGCCTATGGTCTTGTACACCTAGTGGAGGCTATGAATTGGCGAATATTCTTCTACCACACCCGTTTGTAGTAGAAATGTTTGATTGGATTGGATAGTTACTTGGTGATTTTAATTGGTGCTTTGAAAAACTCCATAAATCTTGATTGTCTAAATGCTACTCGTTGAATGAATACTTTGTTTTTGTGTTGTAGCGAGTACGAGTTTGAAATGCTATTGAGAAATTTTTAGTTAATCTTGGCTATTTTTCATGTGTGAAATGAAATGACGCTTTTTCCATCGAGTGGATGTTGATCTAGATATTGCATGTTGGATGCGATCTAGTGCACCATGGTAAATGATGGGTATAGATCCCACTTCGAAGTGGTTTAGAAAGTGTTGTTGCGATTCATACCGTATAGGTTAATCGTTTTGAACGATTGTTGTAGTGATGGATCAGGGAGATCTATTGTGATGGAGGAATACTGGAGAATCTTCATTTCGGTTGTGATAATTTCCTCTTAGTTGACCTGATGTTTGTCGTCTAAGTGATCTTAATTGTTTGGACGGTTAGATCCAAGTGTGGTCGAGTATATATTATGCCTAAAGGGTAGGCAATGATAGTATCTTCCCGAGAGAAACCTAACAAAATTTCGAGGACGAAATTTCTAGTTAGGGAGAAGGATTGTAACACCTCAATTTTTGTTTTCGGATTAATTGGAAAACTTAGGGTGTTGAGGTGCATGCTTGATCATT